AGCTCTCCTTGAAAGAAGAGCGACTGTCGCCATTTTGACTGAGTCTGACCTATTTCCTCGTATTTTTATGTACAGAGCTGGCTAGGACTTCTGTTTATCCTTCAATTGGCCTTAAGTAACGTGTATTGGTCTAGCCAAGGTGCTGGTGATAGTCTTTGAAGGTGGCATGCGTGTTTCCCTGGTAACCTATACTTGATGCTCTTTAATGTGAGCCGGGTCAAGACAGGATGATAGCGCTAAGTGCTCCACACCACCAGCTGGGATCAAGCCTCAAGGTAGAGGCTATGATCTCCTGGGGCTTGAAAGACTACATCAGAGCTGAAGCACCAGAGCCCCCAAAACATTAGATGCTATCTCTATGGCATAATAGTATAACGCAGATTACTTTCTCTGCATATCCTCCCTGCATATGGCAGAGGTAAATGTAGGCCACCCACCTAGCTCAGCTCACAATGGTCACCTTCTTCCCCCAATTTTCAGTCAATCCTCCTCAAGCCACTCCTCCCCTGAATAAAAACTGAGTGAGGCCCTGGGTCGCTCTTTTTGTTCCAGGAAGCCATCTTTATAGCTGAATTTAGAGCCCCTTGACTCCCTGATGATTGAAAATATAATTTAGTGTCTTTATTTTCACTGTGGGTTGCATTGAAAGTGGTAGATTGGAATTAACTTGATGGGATTCCAATAACGTAACTTTGGGATTACAAACACTGGCTTCGTGGACCCAGACGAGGACCTGGATGGAAGTGACTCCTACAAGTGTAAAGCCAGGCTACATTGTGAAGTCAAGTTCAACCTGAATTATTATAGTAAGTGCTGTTTTCAAAACATAATTTATAGGAAAGAATTATTATTTATTTGCATACTACTTCAAATCAAACCAGGGACATTCTCTGCTGTCCTATAGCTTCAGGTTTGTTTCTCTTTCTATTTTTAGCTAGAGTCTTGACACATTGGCCTGTAACTGCATGACTGGAAGATTTTCCTCTGCATGAGGCAAAGAAAGTACATGGAAGTTGCTACAGAGAGATATGGGTGACTCTTCTCACAGCACTAATGATTGAATTTGGAAAGAGCTTTTTATTTACTTATTTCATTATTTTTATTTTTATTTTTTTCCTGTATTTTAGGGAAGGATCTCCGGGTGTTCAGAGTCTCACTACTAGATCGGATTCATAGTGATCTGCCTGTTTACAGCTCCCAAGAGCTGGGATTACAGGTGTGTGCCACCACTCCCAGTCTCAATCGCTGTCTCAACCTGCCCTAGGGGTGGGGCCAGCACAGCAGGCTGGGGGATAGAACACTTGGCCCCCGTGCCTGCTTACAGGAGCTTTAATTCACAGCCCAGTTTATTCGGCTGGCCCAGTTCTTTTTATTTGTCTAATTTTTTAAACTATTTATTCATTTATTTGATATAGGGTCTCACTAGGCAGTTTGGCTTCATAGTGACCTTCCTGTCTCATCCTCCTCAGCCCTGGGATTACAGATGTGCACCATCAGGCCTGGTTTTGGTGGCTGGCATGGGTTTTGGGGCTGACATGTCATGTGGTACTGTGTCAGAGATTGAACCCAGGTCCTTGCACTTGTCAGGCATGCACTTAGACTGTTGAGCTATCTCCCCAGCCCTGAACACAGGAAGTTCTGAGCCTACATCCCCAGCATATTTCAAACTTTAGAGATAAGCTCTTAAATGTTTCTTTTATTTGTTTATTTATTTATTTTTACATTTATTTAGTGTGTGTGTGTGTGTGTGTGTGTGTGTGTGTGTGGCCAGCTCAGCCCACCAGGGGGTGGGGCTGGCTGGCATGTGGTGCTGGGGGATTGAACCACGGTCCCTGTGCTTTGCCAAGCTTGTTCCAAGTAGGTGCCCTAGACCACTGAGCCATCTCTCCAGCCCCGATAAGCTCTTAAGATGTTGTCTAGTCTTGCTTCACATTCATGATCCAAGGCTGTGAGCGGTGATGTAGACCTGTTATCCCAGAACGAGGGAGGCTGAGGTATGAGCAACACCTTGAGTTTGAGGCCATCTTGGGCTACATAGTGATGAAGATAAACCAGGAGGACCCACACAGCTCAATCTTATCTCAAGAAGGAAAAAAACAAAAACAAAAAACAAAAAAAATAAATAATAAAAGAAAAAACCCACATACTTTATCATCATCCTGTCTCAGCTTCAAATGTTGCTGATATTAAAAGCATGAATGATTATATTGAACCCAATAGTGACACATAAAATCTAACACTATCCTTGAGAGCACCTGCCGCACACTTGCTCCTTGGGGCCCCCAGTGGTAAGGAGTATGTTTCCATGGGATCAGATGTGGGAACTTGCTCGAGAAGGTGAAATCTAAAGCACAGATCCTATGGGGAAGTGAGGGGCTCACACGTTTCCAAGTCTCATGGGGAGGTCTCAGAGGCGGAAATGGGTCCAGTCCCAAGATGCAGTCATCCTAGTGGATCTGACCTGTGGCTTTTAATTTTAGTACCAAGGTCCTTCTCCCAGGGACACTGCCCAGGCAAGTGGGATCCACAGGCAATGACTCAGCCTTTCATTCTGAAAGAGAATCATATGAGACTGGGAAAACACCAAGTTGAATAAAAAGTTCAGGAAATGAGATAAACTCAACTGAAAATGTCTAATAGTTTTTGTTTGAATTTTTCTATGTGTTTTGTGACACTGGTTGTCAAGCAATAAGCCTTTGCCCTAAGCTGCTTATTTGTTCCTTGTTTTGTTTTGTTTTTGTTTTTGTTGTTGTTTGTACACAATGTGCTGTCACTGAAGCCCCAGGAGAACAGACTTCCCTGGGCACTAAAACACTTTGACAGCACAGCCAAGGTCCAAAACTGAGTCACCTTGAGTTACACATGTCCAGTGTCAAGGATTTTGGTGTCAGCATAAATCTAAGGGTCCCAGAGAAAGAGTTTTTCCCATTAACCCCAGAATGTTCCAAGCCTTGAGTGTGGTCTTTGTGTCACAGATTCCTGCTACCAAATGGTTTTATATCACAGCAGCTTACATGGACTCATTTTCCCAAGAACCTTCCCATTTGTTTCTTATACCTTGAGTTCACCAGTTTCTTATACCTTGAGTTCACCATGCAGCAGGCATGTTCCTGCTCACAGCTCCTGTGTGCTTTCCAAAGAAATGTTGTTTTAGAGAGTTGGTCTCTGAAATGCATCGCAGGTTGGCAAACTTAGATAAATCAAAAAGAGGCACAGTATTGAGGAGGAAAAACCTTAGCTTAAGGTCCATTCCTATCATAAATGCATGCTAGAAAGTTAGGGTAGGGGCTGGTGAGATGGCTCAGTGGTCTAAAGCACCTACTTAGAACAAGCTTAGCAATGCACAGGGACAGCGGTTGAATTCCCCAGCACCACATGCTAGCCAGCCCCGACCTGGGCTGAGCTGGCCGCACACACACACACATAAATAAATAAATAAATAAATAAATAAATAAATAAAATTTAAAAAAAAGAAAGTTAGGGTAGAGGATTCCAAGTTCAAGCTCAGCCCAGGCAGTCACAAGGACTTGGTCAGCAATCAAAAAATTTTGAGGCTAGAGCTCAGCATGAAGGCTTTGGGTACCAGTGGCATGGGTATATCAGGAAGGGAGGAGAAAAATCAGGGAACATGCAGCTAGTGAAAGCTAAAAGATAGGAGAGAATGAGCAATGTGGAATGTCTCTGCTTACCTCTATGAGTTCATGAGGCCAAACCTCATTGATCAGACAACTCAGGTCTTTTTCTGCTCACGTAATGCAGATTCATGAGCTCTGAACTGGAAACCAGGTGGAATAATTATGGAAGAAATGAGATAATTTACATGCAACTCTCTTTATTTCTGATCATTCATTTACATTCATACATATAGTCATCTCAAGCCTAAATTGACATCTAACCACTCAAATTCCTATTTTTTTTAAAATTTTATTTGTGTGTGTGTGTGTGTGTGTGTGTGTGTGTGTGTGTATGTGTGGCCAGCTCAGCCCACCAGGGGGTGGGGCTGGCTGGCATGTGGTGCTGGGGGATTGAACCGCGGTCCCTGTGCTTTGCTAAGCTTGTTCTAAGTAGGTGCTTTAAACCACTGAGCCATCTCAGCAGCCCCTCAAATTCCTATTTTTGATCCTGGCTAGGACCCAGATCCACAAAGGTCACTTGTGCTCTCAGTGATTCTCCAAGTTGTAGCCTACTGGACAATCTGCCTTTTTTTTTCACTTGCGCAGAAGAGGTCTGTGTTCCTGGGGCCATAAGGAAATATATTATGTATTCAACTAGATGAGGATACAGGTGGGGCATGGACTAGGGCGCAGGTTATAGACAGGGTGGTTATGACCACTTTCTTGATGAACACAAAACCACACTGTCCTGGGATAGTTTAGTGTCCTCATCATCCTCCTAAGTGGTTCTTGTATCTGCTGGAGGTCACCATTCCTGGGAACATGAACCTCCTGAGGAGGAGAGTACAGCTCCAGGGTTAAGTTGCTCATCCTGGCAGTGTGGCTCAGCAGGTTCTTCATGGTGCCTACAGACATGAAATTCCCTACAAAGCACAAGGCAGTGAGCTGGGAGCAGCAGCTCAGTGAAGGCAGAAAGGCGCAGACCTGTGCGTCTGTGATCCCACAGTTTTCCAGATGTAGGGTGGTCAGCGTTGCCGCAACATTATCTAGCAGAATCTGGAGGGGCTCAGGACTGAAATTAGTCAGACTGATACAACACAGTTCAAAGTGTTTCAGCTGTCTGGTCTGCTCAGAGCAGGGCAGCTGGTTCCAGTCAGAGTGTGAAAGCTGGCTATGAGTTACAGAGAGGGTCTCCAAGGGGGTCGGCAAGCACCTACAGAGAACCAAGCAGTAAGACTGAAAATGGTGGTGAAAATCAGTGAGTGGTGGAAAACAACAACAAGGACCAAGTGTCACATGAGTCAGCCCCATTTAGGGGTGACTTTTACCACTGCTTGCAAGAACAGCTGAGTGTTAAATCTCTACAGTCCCTTTTCCTCAATTCCAAGTAAAAAATTGCAGATTTTTACTGATGAGCATAGCAGGAGAACAACAGGAAGCAAAAATCAGGCAAGATCTGGATATAGCTATGGGGGTTGCCACAAAAGCTGTCAGCAGAGTTTGTGTCCTTGTTCCAGTCCAGCCCCTGTTCCCTGCCATCAGCTTCAGCCTCCTGCATTTCCATCCTATCATCAGCCCACCCAGGAGAACTGCCTTCTCATGATGACTGCCCTGAAGGTCAGAGAGGCCTTGGTGTTGGTCACCACCTTATGCTAGAAGGCTTTCTTGAGGAAAAAGTCACACACCTGAGCTCATTGTATCTGAACTCCTTCCTCCTGGCATTCTAGTGTGGTGGCCCTTTCCAGTATGACTACTAACATACAGTGGCTATGTGACACCTTGTTGTATGACTTAGGAGTGAAAAACAGTGGATATGTTGGTACCCTAGTGTTTGTTCTCTGTCACATCTTCTGTGGGGTGGCATACTGTTCATGTTCCCTAAATGTCCCTACAAAACACAAGGGAAGAGCTCTTTTGACTGAAGAGCAAGATCCACATCTTACCTGAGTACCTGGTCCAAGTGATCTTTCAGAAAGGAGACAGAGACCATATAAATCTCTTGCAGACAGTGGAGCTTAAGAAACTGAGAGGTGATTTGGGTGATCAGTTGATCTCTCCTCACTCGGGAAGTGAAGGCAGGCTCAGAGATATCAGAGAGCGTGAGTTTGTAAAGATTTCGCATCTGGCGCAAGTAAGTGGCAAAATCAGCTAAGTCAAAGAGTGTCCAGCAGTAACCCACTTCCACCTCCAGGACAGATTCAAAGTTAACCATTTGCAGCTGGTCTGTGACACAGTGAATGCACATGGAAGTCACATACAGCCTCTTATATTCCAGCTGCACCAGATCTCCCCTATCATGCACCCACTTGAGGAGGTAGGATGTCAATGGGCACACAACATCCTGATTGATCCATAGATCTAAAATGACCTTCAGGGTCTTCTGGTTTGTTTCTCTTGTCCCACTCTTCCCTGTTTTTCTCATCTCCATAGCTTCTGAGGAGCAGGCTTCCACCTGGTTTCCAGCCCAGGTTCTCCAGAAGTTCTGCTTGTCTTGCATATCCAGCACTTGTAGTTTCAACCTCCTGTGGATGAGCCAGTAATAAACCTGAACTTTCAGGCTGAGAACCAGGTTCCTCCTGTGACTTCCTCATCTCTGAGGTCAATCGCTATCTTTTCTATTCTCTCTGTTTGTCCATGTATTGCTTTCCCCTTCCCCCTTGGATCCAGCCAAGTCGCTACTCCTGGTACCTGTGGGAGGCAATCAGGAACTTCTGCCTCCACCATTAGCTGTCCTCCCCATCAGGCAGCACACTCCCAGGTGGCTCGGCAAACACTAGGTCTTCTCTGATCCTCTGCCAGTCTCCATCAGAAGGCTCTACTTCACCCTTTTCTCCCTCTCTCCCTGACAATATCTGTCCCTTCCTGGTATTCCTAGAGAATACACCCTCCACGATACCTGGGTTACACTTACCTTGAGTAAACCTTCTGGCTCAGCAGCACATCAAGTCCATACAGAACAGCTTTCAAAATTCTTTTCTGTACTCTCATAGCATCTTTGTGAGTGTCCACTGTCCCTGGTTTGCTCATGGTCATCAGGGCTCCCAAGGGCAGGGAGGGAAAGGGCCAGGACAGCACCATGACCTTCAAGACCTCTATGAGGCCCTTGGTGAAGGCCTCCATAAACACTGGTGGGAAGAGCTCCCTGGGCAAATCTTCCACAGCATCCTTGGCCAGGGCTTCATCCCTCAGCAAGCTCTCAATTGACAGTTCTAGTAGTGCGCATGGGGACTGAGTGCTCATCCTGGGGAGCCTGGAAGGCTGAAGTGCTGAGGAAACATTGGGCAAAGAGACATCCTTTCAGCCAAGGCTGAGACCCTTCTCACCCATCAGGTAACCAACTTGCAGCCAAGTAGTCCCTGCTCTGATGAGGGTAGAAGAATCTCTAGTGTATCCAAAATCTGTTTTGTGGGGGACTGGGGAGATAACTCAGTGGAGTAAGTTCTTGCCTGGCAAGCACAAGGTCCTGAGTTGGATACCTGGTACCACAAAAAATAAAAAAATCTGTTTTTATGGGCTGGCCAGATAGCTCAGTGAACCAAAGCAACTGATTAGGCAGGCGCAGCAGCCAGGGTTTGATCCCCAGTGTGCTGTGCTGGCCCTATCCCTGGGGCATGCTGAGACAGTGATTGAGACTGGGCATGGTGGTTCATGCCTATAATCCTAGCACTTGGGAGGCTGAAAACAAGAGGATCACTAAGAGTCTGATCTGTGTAGTGAGATCCTATAGGCCCTATACTAAAATACATTAAAAAAAAAAAAAAAGACAAAATCTATTTTGTGCTTATGGTACCAAACCATAAGCTCTTTCTGTAATGATACCAGGAAAAATGTTTGATAACAACATGATGAAGAGGGTGAGAGCAAAAGAGTCATTTAGAAATGCCACTACAGACATCTAGACCTACTGGGAATTGGGAACTAAGGAATCCAAAACTGACTCCAATTATTTTTGCGAAAATATTTTGATACTCATTCCACAAAAATATCATCAATGAAATAGAAAAGTCCTATGATCCAGTCTCTAATTTATCAGTTCCCATCAGACACCTAAGAAAAATTAAGCATACCATGACATAAATGTCATGAGCTTTCATTTCAAATAATTACAGAGTACTAAATTCTCTTCCTGTGTAGAGCTGGCAGAATCAGGGACGGGCCTTCTCTTGCTGCCTCCCTTTTAGTTCACTGGCTCATCCACCGCCGGGTGGTGGAAACCGAGGCTCAGCGGCATGAGCACTCAGCAGTATGAGCAGCGGGCTTGGGGATTTCTTAAGCTGTGAAATCTGTTGTTGAACAGAAGTAAAAGATAACCCCATGAAATCCTACTTCAGAGTTTAGGGCCTCTGTCATCGCCAATTTTTTTTTT